ATATATTATTAGAAGAGCAAATTGACAAACTTCAGAAAGAAAATGAAGATTTGCGTAATCAGTTACAACAAGCAAAAGCAACATGTTATGTTATATGTTATCCGTGTTTATAAATCAATTACTGAATAGTATTTTGTAGTTTAATCTATCTTATATTGTTAAAAATAGAAAGGTTAAGTACTAACATCATCTATCAAATAATTTTTTTAATGAAATTTAATACAATGATCAATAAATAATTCAATCTCGCTTGATGTTAACAAACGTGTTTACTATACAAAACCATACTGGTTTCTTCTCTGTAGGAGCAAGAATGGCGGATGAGTGTACTCATCTCTATAGTGCTCTAGTACCGCTACAAACAGCTAGGGACCCTAAAGGGTCTCTAGAAACATCTTAGGGACTCTGTAGGAGGGACGCGCCATGTACATTGCTGGGGGACAGGAAATCGTGTAGTCACGTGATTGCGCGCGAATGATTCAAACGATAAGTTATAGGTTAGGTTTGTACATTTATACTTGTAATTATTAAATGAGTAAATTAAACTTACACTTATAGAAAACTACTAAAAAAAAACAAAACAATTAAATATAAATATCACAATAAAAACTATAAGTATTCCAAACTTAAACTAACCACAGCCGTTAATACATACTAAAGATAAACATGGCTGGGCTATGCAACGAAAGCTGTCCCCCCACATTTTCAGCCTAGCAATCACGGAGGATAGATACCAGGAGTCCGAACGTAATGTTGAAAGAATGCTATCAATTTAGGGGACAAGATATTTTGCCGGTAGGGCGCGCTACTTTTCACAAAGTACTCGTTTAAATATTTACGCGGGAAGTCTTGCTACTATTGACAGCTCTGAAAAAAAATATTTTAAGAAACGTGGAATTAATATTATTTAAAAACTACACAAATGTAATAATCAATTATTTGTTAACATAAAATTTTTAATATTATTTTGAGGTTATTCACTTTTGGTGCTCTGAATAAAGTCACTTTTCCTAAATTTTCACTTGCCTTTCGACCAGTAAGGCAACCATAAACGGCACAACACTTTCCCATTTTTTAATAAAAATTATTCTAAAAAAATAAATTAATATTTTATATTTAATTTAAATGTAATAATAATAATAATAGTATCGGTACGCTTTGAATACTTGCGTTGTTAGTGGCAAAAAAGAGAACTATGATCTGGGTCAAGAAATGACTACCACAAAAAATGGGGAAAATCCCATATCGTTCGGACTCCTGGTATTTATCCTCCATGCTAGCAATGTACATGGCGCGTCCCTCCTATAGGGTCCCTAGAAGCATGTAAAACTTTAACGCGCGCAAACAACTGTGGTCAAAATCTGAACTAAAAATGCACCATCCCAATACGTCTTCATCTATATGCACCTAATAATAGGTGTACTTCAGTGATCCCATTCGTACGATAATTTGAGGCCTTGTACGATCCAAAATTCAACCTGTACGATCCAATTTGGAATTTCGAAAACTTGATGACCTTTATTTTTTTTTTTGTTTTAGTCATCAAATTTTGCAGGTGCACCCCCACCACCACCACCACCACCCGCCACCACGATCCCGATCCGTGTACGATCTGTGTACGATCTCTGTATGAACAAGTATTTCTCCCTGCGGTACGCCGTTTGTACCGTTTTTACGCTAGGGTTTTGAACTTGATGACTAAAAAAAAAAAAAATCATCAACTTTTTCAAAGTTGGAACTTGCACTCTTTTTCCAGATTTTGAAAATCTCGTCCGAGAAATGATCGGATTTCAAATTTTTCCCGGGGCGTACGATAATTTTCCGGCGTGTACGATAATTTTACGCCCCTGTGTCGATCAGACGAACTAAAGTTTCTGGGATCACTGGTGTACTTGTTTACCTTGTAGGTAAACAAGGTAAAGCTTGTTTAGTTGTATCCCTTTTTGATCTTCGATTTGTCAAATGAATAAGAAGAAAATAAATATTATTGAAAATACATAATAATTACTATCAAAATTAGCGATTAAAAGAAAGAAGAATATATTTATGATTGTTTATACACATATACATTGATTTAAACATTACATACCTATTAATGTACTTTGAATAATAAATAATGTCAACCAATTATTAAGTTTCCGGTCGTCGACAAAAAGATGATTAATAAATTTTTGTTTGATAAGCATCGGTGACAAAAAGCCTATTTATAAGCTAGCGGTCGTTAAAGAGTTAATATGATTATATTTTAAATTAGAGAGTTTTAATTTATCTAGTATATTAACCCTTTGCACTCCTATGTCGAGTGTGACTTGACATCAGTTTTTATCTCAAAAGATATCATACACTTGACAATTACAAAATACAACAATTGTCTATATAAATAGATATATATATAATATTATTTAATAAAATAGATATTTCATTTCAATTTATAAGTAATTTTTTAGTTAAAGTAAATTACAAATAAAACTAGAAAAACAATGAAAATATAATTCGATATGTTTGGTAAATCCCCGATTTTTCTTGTATCCTTTTAAATACAATAGTATATATTGTATGGTATAACGAATAGTAATATAAGAGAAAGAAAGAATATAGAAAAAAAAAAAGATATTTTGTACGGCATGTAACATGGGCGTCTCTAAATCGCACAATGAGTAAATGGTCATAATTACAAGAGCAACGTAGTCTCTTTAACTTCTTGCGTGCATTCTTCAATGTATTCATGTATCTATTTGTACATGTGCGTGTGCGTGTGCGTGTACGTATGTAGGGTGCGGGTGAATTAAGAGCGAATGAGAAGGGATCTCATCTTCTCATCTTCAAAGGAAGATCAGTTTGTATTGAAATGTCTCAGAGATCGCACGCAAGATAACATCAATTATTATACAAGTGTAATTTGGTTCTTCTTTTTTTATTATTATTATTATCATTATTATTATTATTATTCATTTTCGATACGTCGATCAAGAATGATACCACTTTCTTGGATTATTTGCATTCTTGCTATAGGTGAGTTTAAAAAATAAAATTATTATACATATTTACTATTATTATTATTATAAAATATGTGAAAATAATTGTTCATTATTAATACTACTATTCGTTTAATTTGGTAATTTATAATCAGGAGTTAACGCGTCAGTGAATGAAAGTTTTGGGAATCACCCGACGGTTGTAAAAGTTTTCAGAAACCACACGGTTTTGCTACCGTGCTCTGTGCAGGATCTTGGTAAGTAATAAGCATGAAATCGGTCATTATAAATGGAATTCTCTAACATAAGCCCGTATATCTGTAGAAAACAAAAAAACAACAACTTCTTAATTAATTTTATTCACAAACTTACATTAGAGAAAAATAAATTGCAAATTCAATAGCCATTAATTAATAAAATAAACGTGAAAATATTGAAGGGGTACCAACCAGAGTAAAATGGTGGGGTAATGGAAGTCCTTTGGCTGACAGCGATGATCCTAAATTGATAATTCCCGAAAGAATTCGATTATGGCAGAACCTAAGTTTAGAGATTTCCAACGTTCAACCAGGAGATACGGGAGAATACGTGTGTCAAGCGTCACGACCAACTCCTTGGGGATATGTTACGCGCGTCCACGTTATCGAAGTTATGTGTGAGTATCCAACTATAATACCATTAGTAAATAAATAGAAAAGAAACTACCCCTATTGAGAAATTACTTAAATATTATATTGAAACATTTTATTAATATTTCCAAGAATGATCCCGTATAGGAAGATATAACAAGTAGGTTCTTTTTCTTTTATATTTGACAATGAGTCGAGTTAGATGAAAATCTCATGGAAACAAAATAGATATTTGTACTTTTTTTTTTTTCGGATGAGCCAACAATATCTTTCGAAAAATAATCATTTTCATATTGAAAATAATTTCGGAATTTTGGACAATCTTATTATTACGTATATAATACATTAACATAACAAAATTACATTGTAGCATACGCGAATATATTCAAAGAAAAAAGGAGATGAGATCTTGCGTAGGTCGAAAAAACGAGAATTAAGTCAATTCGTTTAACTCGCTGTTTACTTATTTTCTTTGCTTTTTATTGTTTATGAGTCAGTATACGAAATAAATGTACTTAACATTTGTTATATTTAAACAAAATATTCATACACATTAGGGTGGGTAAAAAAAAAATGACTTTTTTTTTGTTTCAAGTGCCACGGAAAAATGGGTTGCTAGACACCTTAAAACAATTCTCACCAAATATGAGCTCTTAATTTTAATAAGAAGATCCTCCGCATCGTAGTTTTTTATTTTTTTTTTCAGTCCAATAGATTAAAATTCATACTTCATTATTTATTGATTGTACAGAAAAATGTTCTAGACGAATTTGGTAGGAAATTTAATGCTCTACAAAAAAAGGTATCTTATANTATATATATATAAATATATACGTATATATTAAATTATAGAAGCTATTTAATGTAGTATCTAATTGCTTAACAAATAACAAACAAACGAGAGAAAAAAAAACATAGTACAAAATAAGAATTAAAAAAATAAAAAACAAAAAAGAAATTCAATAGATCTACTTTGAATAGAATTGTTGTTGTAAAAAAATAATCAATTAAGTTAGAAATTGTTATACAAATAATCTCCACACAGTAATCTACTAATTGTAAGCTATTAATTATAATGGAAGTTTGAGTGCATAAAAATAGATGCACATGTGAGGAGAAAATAGATTGTTGAAATACGAAATATATCAATGACCAAAGGGATTCAGACGGGCAGTTGACTAGCAAAACTACAAGAACCGAATGGCTGTGTTTGCTCATGGTTGTGGAGTTTACTCACGGTGTGAAGTTGACTTGGTCAGTCAGTGTGGTGGTACCGGAGAATGGAGGAGCGCGCACCTAGGTACTACGTACATGTCTGATCGAGACGCTGACAGAAGCTGTTTACACAAAATAAAGACAACAACTGAACAGTCGTCATTGTGATGATAAAATCATTTCATTGTGTAAATCGTTCGAAAACTCTCGTTCCTATTAATGTTCTATCTAAAGAGACATTAAGTTGTCAGCGTCTAATTAATTGTTGCTTAAATCACATTAATAAATGGTAATTATTACTTGTCCGATATATTATATAATTAGCCTGTGTGTGTATTGTTATTATTATACTCTGCTAGTATATAAAGAAAAGGGATGTAAATTACATGTTAATATAGACACGTAAGCTTATTTCCAATATTAACAATTCCCCTTTCTTTCTTTCTTTCTTTATTTATTTATTTATTTATTTCTTGATCTTATTTAAATAGAAGAAGAAAATATCTCAAAATATTGATCTACTGCCATGTATCAGTTTTCCTTGAATGATCTCATCTCCATTCCTTAATATTTCAGATCATCTAGAATGTATGTTAAGTTTGTATATCAATATATATATATACGTATATAAAAATAATTACAAAAATTGACTATAATAACAATAGCAAATTTCTATAACATAACTTTAAACTCCTTTTTAATAAAATAAAGAAAATATTCATTCAGCTATTTTAGGCATGCCCGTTACACAGTATGAATGATGCTATATTAGTTTTAGTTTGAGTTTGAGAAATTGTGATAAAATGATATATTTTAGGCAAATGATATTAAAGTGCAAATTTGGTTTTCCATACATTCTAAATGTAATAAAAAGAAAACTAGAAAATAGTATTAAAAACTATTTGCGATTAATCATCGACATGATATATATTTCACGATGGAAATAAGACGCATGTTAATAAAATGTGATGTCAGCGTGTCGAGGAGAGAGTTCAAATATATTCTCCTGCCTGAATTATTTTATTACTCATTTTTTTTTTCTTTTTTTTTTTTTTAATTTTTTTTTTTTCATGTTTTTGTTGGTTGGATATACTCTGACTTACCGACGAGGCTGCAGCCGCCTGCGAAAATACGAGGGTTGTGCTGTGATTGACTCCCTTCAGAGCCAATGAGTGAATGAAAGGGTCGTCCCCACACACAGCATTCCTAGGCGTGTGCGTTTGCTGTGTGCGACGCACGCTGCCTGTTATTATAATTATAACGAACGAGTCACGGCTCCAATTATTTAGAGCTAAGGATAGCACACACGCGCATGTATTTAATTTTTTCTTTTTTTTTTCTTTTTTTTTTCTTTTTTTTTTTCTTTTTTTCTTTTCTTTTTTTTCGGGGGATTTTCATTTACCGTCAAAATACTTAACAACTACTATTTATTTCTAAATACTTATTATTTGTCCGTCTTGTATATCCAAATGCATTTATATATGTATATACGTATATCATTTTACATATAAATTAATGTACGTATATATATATAAATTTTATGCATATGCTGTGAGCTTAATTTCATCGTCAACTAGTATGAAATATAATAATAAAAACATAATCGGGCATACAGAATCTCTCTTTACATAGTTTTCTTTCTTAAATGTTTTTTTTTTCTTTTCTTTTCTTTTCTTTTTTTTTTACTTCCTACAATTTGAAAATGAATTCAAAATCAATCATTGAAATTGTTCAATTGTTCTGATCTATGCATGAAGAAGTCGTTAATTATATTATATTGAATGAATTTAAACGAGAAATATGATTTAGATTTTTTTTTTTTATATGTGAAAAGAAATGATGTCCGATACAGTTATTAATTTTAAAAAAGAAAAAGAAAAAAAAAAAAAGAAAAAAAATAATAATATAACATTCAAAAGAAGATACTCTTTATATTATTAATCATTCAAGGAATTCTCAATATTTTTACCGATTATTTTCATTAATAAATTGGATTAATGAAATTTGAATATAATTGTAAATAAATGCATTTAAAGATATTGTTGAAACTTTTTGAATTCATTTAAATGCATTTAACTTGACGATTATAAACAAAAAAATCAATCCAAATAATTTGATACCAAAAAGATATATCCTTATCGGTGACGATAAAAAAAAAAAAAAAAAAAAAAAAAAAAAAAAGAAGAAATATAAAGAAACAAATTAAAAAAAAAATAAAATAAAATAAAAATCTTTACAATATTAAAAAAAATTGATAAAGCTTCACAGATAAGAATTATGCATAAAAAGTAACAAATTATATGCTTTCAAATGCTCTCAGTTATTCTGTACCCCAATCAACATGCCGTATTTCATAGCACCTTCATATTTGATATATTCAAAACCAGGAGCAAAGAAATAGGAATTAAAATCAAGATATAAAATGTCGTCGTATTGTATATATCAAAATAATTACCTTCATAACTTCCCGGAATTTTCCAATTTCACGAGTTATCAAGTCTCTCTTACTTTCTTCGATCTCTGCATCATCCAAATTTAAAGACTTGGCGACCATTTTAGTTTGATGCTCCTCTATTAACGATATAGCGAAACATTAGTAACACAGATATTATTTATATTATTTTAAATATATGTATATGTATATGTAATCTACCTGGGGCAACTTGTGCCATTTCTAAATCAGTAGCATGTTCCGTAATTATTTGATTAATACGCGTTAATGCATCAGCATCTACAACTCTCATTCCTTCGTCCATGTAATCTTCGCCTTCCTCTCCTTCCGTACCTTCAGTAGGTGTTTCATCTTGTAACGGGGATTGACCTCCTCTAAGTTTCTTCCGTCTCTCAGCTACAAATTCATATATTGAATAATATAAAAATTAACCAGTTAAATATGAATGAAACATTGTTTATTAGCTATACAATATGTAATAATAATGTAATATACGTATGAATACCTTTAAATTGATCAAGTACAACTTTAGCTTTAGCATCCACTTTAACGACAAGCTTTTTTGTGCCTATTGTCATATCGTGTAACAATCTTACTGCTCTTAAACCTGCATCAGGACCAGCGTATTCACAAAATCCAAAAGCTTGTACCCTTTTCCACGAAAGAACATGGCCACATGCGCCCAATATTTGTCGTATCATAACGTCGGGTGCTCTGTCCATTATATTTCCAATAAAGACAGTAACTGGTGGTCCAGATTCCCTCTCACGACGTCGATTGTTATCATGTCGGTTTTGATTGCGTGCATAACGTACGGCTGGTGCTGAGGTCTGCATCGCAGATACGGGTGTTGGAATCATCTATGTTTTATAAATGGTAGCTTTCTTAATAATGCACATTTCTACTCATGCACTGCATAGTGTTCCCTCCCATTAATTGTGCATTAGTTTGCGTTCTATCTCTTGCTGTACACTTCAACACCGGGTACTAAAAATTGTTCCTACATTGTTTTTTTAACCCGTGCAAATGAAAATTAATTGGAAAAACATTCACATGCATTAAACGACATTTTTTTTTTATTTTTATTAACGATAAATTTCATTAATTTGATAATTAATTAATTTTTTTTCATTCAATTCATATATAAATAAGCAAACTAATTAGTAATTCTAGATCAATAATCTAAGCTCTTATTTAATGATTAAGTAAAAATGATATCTAATCTTAATATATGCATGCTAAAATAAATATACCTTTTGTTATTCACATCTAACCCATATTTATAAATATATATATATATATATGCTGCAGAAAATGCAATATTTTTCATATGCACAATCAGATATTAATTATTTATTTTTATTGAATGCAAATGTCACTGTGCTCATAACATTCATTTTTGATTATAAAGAAAGGATATTATTAAAACGATAATATATTGTAACAATGAATTATTTCTAGTTATTAATAATATAATATAAATATCAAAAGAGATAATTAATACATTAAAAACACCACACCAGAGTTCTTATAGATATTAGCCTTTTAAACTTTCCATTCAGACCATTTTGATTATCAACAATTGTTGACATTGTTTGTTTACTTTTCCAGATGAAAAATCATTGTGGTCTGAACAAAAAGCTTGACATTCAATATGTCAAATAGAATAATACAGAAAGCTATGAAATATTATGTTTTAGTAATGACAACATGAAAAAGTAAAATATTATGATAATATGATACGTAAATATTGAAACTAACACACTGACACAAAACAAACATGCACAAATAATATAAATAAATGAAAAGAAATAAAACGTTAATACTTACATGGGCCATGGGCATTACTCCGCCAATAATTGGTGGTGGTGCACCAACCATATATGGCATAGGAGGCATGCCTGGTATCCCCATGGGAGGTTGTCCAGGATACGACATAATGTATTTTAACTTAAATTATGGCAGTGCTCTTGCTGCAAAATAATTAACATACAATATTACATATAATTAAGAATGAATATTAAGTGTATGCACAATGCAATGTGAACTTTGACAAAATGCAGACAAAAAAAATATCTACAATTGTCATACCACAAAGAGATAGAGAGAGAGAGAGAGAGAGAGAGAGAGAGAGAGAGAGAGAGAGACATACATAACTGTGTACAAAATGATTTGACAATAGTTTTGCATCAGCAATATATAAATAAATACCTGTAAATAATGTAGAATTTGTTAAGACATATGAAATACCTTCATGTTCTCTTATATATAGTTAATTATCAAAATTGTATGTAATGTATATTAAAGGGAAAATGAAGGAATTGTCAAAATGAAATATTAATTCGATTAAAACGTTCTCGTAGAAGGAAATGAGAAACTTTAAATGAAACTACTTAATATATTCACTACCGATAGCTTTTTTGATGGCAGATCAAAGAAGAATAATGGATGCCTTCAGATCCTAACCATTAAAGTAACGACGAAGCGCGGAAACACACACATATATTACTCCTACAATATTCTTACTTACACAAGGAAACCCGTTAACGTTAATATAATATATTATCATTTTTTCTCACTAATTCGCGTCATGGTATTATTTGAAATATTTTCAATACAACAAAAAGCAAATAATGAAGGAATCAAAAATTGTCGCGTAAATTTAATTTCAACAGTCGAATTGAACAACTATTCACGTCTTTGCACTTCCACCATTACAGAGCTTCGTGTATTCTTCCCTCTAGCATTGTGAAAGTTGCCAAAAGTTGTCTCAAAATCAGAATAGCTAACATAACATTTTTTAGGGAATTTTATTATTTGTTTATCAGGTATTAATAATTGTATAGATAAATACTAAATGCACTATCATTTCATTGATAATAATATTAATTAATAATAAATATTGATTATACAGATAACTTCTGCTTAAACCCGTTCACTAAATTTTTCGTATCCATCAATATTCCCATATATCTCTTTCTTTCTATCACTTTCTAACAATTTCTTCATCAATTATTAACAAATAACGTAAAACTTGGTTACTTAACTGTTATTTAACATGTCAATATAAATAAATAATTGTTAATAAATTTATTAATTAAAATATTTTTCTTCTAGAACGAGAAGCACGTTGTTGAAAATTTTTCTACGTTTGATTCACTTTGATTGGTTATTCTCGAATGATATCGAAAAATGTTCTCATTCGATTAGAAATAATTTAATTAATATAATAATAAATTATTTATATTATTAATAATATTATTTGACATTTTATTATATTAATATGTAAGAAAAACAAGGAAGAAATCAATTAATAATAGTCTGATATAGTGTAAATTAATTCCTACAGATGGCATATCAGTGCTCTAGCAACATGTAGAGGGTTTCTCTATAGTACAAATGAAATTAGACTGAACTTTCTTTGTTACTTTTATTTAAAGGACGCGACTTGCTTTTCTTTGTTGTACACTTATCAACGGCTACGTACAGACTAGTGATCTCAGAGACTTTAGTTCGTCTGATCGACACAGGGGCGTAAAATTATCGTACACACGTCTTCAAGTTCAAAACCCTATCGTAAAAACGGTAAAAACGGCGTACGACAGGGAGAACAGTGATCCCATTCGTACGATCCAAAATTCGTGGCGTACGATCCATTTGGAATTTCGAAAACTTGATGACCTTTTTTTTTTTAGTCAACAAATTTGGGAAAGGTGCACCCCCACCACCCCTACTACCACCACCACGTACGATCCGTGTACGATCCGGTCTTCCATCTCCCTGTGGACCGCCGTTTTTATCGTTTTCATGATAGGGTTTTGAACTTGATGACTTGAAAAAGTTGGAACTAGCACACTTTTTCCACATTTTGAAAATTTCGTCCGAGAAATTGTAGGATTTTTGTCGGATTTCAAATTTTCCCGGGGCGTACGATAATTTTACGCCCCTGTGTCGATCAGACGAACTAAAGTCTCTGGGATCACTGAAGGAGAAAGACTTGCTCGTACAGAGATCGTACACAGATCATATACAAATCGTACGGTGGTGGTTCTCGAAATTTCGATTCACAATCGGAAAATCGTTTGATGACTAAAAAAAAAAAGGTCATCAACCTTTCGAAATTCCAAATTGGATCGTACAGGCTGAATTTTGGATCGTACAAGGCTTCAAATTATCGTACGAACGGGATCACTGCTAGTGACGGCTTCTTGTAGTGTGGTTCCCTAGCCTTCTAGTAACTTTAGAGGGCGCAACCTTCCGTCGTACCTAGAGCACTATAGAGATGAGTACTCTCATCCGCCATTTTCACTCCTCGAGTGAGCGGAAGTTTTAAAAAAACGTATGTAGTGAGTGTTAGTCTGTAGGTTTTATCGTTATTTTTTGCAATTCTTTTAATTATTTGTGAATGAATGAAGAAGAAACTTTATTGAAATCGTTTAATAGTCATTTAATAGTCGTAAACAACTATTAATATCTGTCTGAAAACATATTGAAAAATACATTTTCAATAAAAATTTCTAAGCTCGCTACAAAGATTTTTGGGCTTTGTCTAGCAAAAATTGAAG